TCAGTAGTTATATAATTATATATTAAAACATTTGTTCCCTTGCTCTCTGACTGAAGAAATGCTGCTAACACCATAGAGCGTCCTTCGCAACTTGCAAAACTATTATCTATAGAAACTAACTAGCCGACTCCCTATTTGTTATATGACGTAAAGATTTTAAAATTATATACCTTGTGGCAACTGTGACTATTTTTCACTAACCTGCTCGAACATTTTAATTTCTAGCCATAGCTACTATTCGAACAAATATAAGTAAACTATGAATTTTCATCAAAAACATTGCAATGCTAGAATACCCCGAAAAGCCGATGATTTTTTAATCAACGCAAATTCGGTCAAATAAGAAGGAAGAAGGCCAAGGATATCCTATTGTATCTAGGTAGAGCTCTGCTGTTCAATAAAGGGGCTAGATAAAACCCGAACCGTTGTGTTTCTGCTGATGGAATTTAAAAAATGAAAATGGCCGGTAAGAAGATACTCGTGAAATTATGTTCTATTAAAATGGTCGTTAGCCGTATTTATACTAGAAGACGTCTTAGACGTCCAGATGCATTAAACGTCTGACTGTTAAGTGCGTCCCGTTTTTGTACTAGACGACTTATACGGCTGAGACGACTAATTTGTCTGTTAAGTGCGTCGATGGGACGCAATTAACTTCAGACGTTTTATTCGTCTGATGTTAATGCGTCTGCCTTATTTCCCGTATTTATGCTAGACGTCTAAGTCGTCTAAGATGCATTAAACGTCTGACTGTTAAGTGCGTCCCGTTTTTGTACTAGACGACTTATACGGCTGAGACGACTAATTTGTCTGTTGAGTGCGTCGATGGGACGCAATTAACTTCAGACGTTTTATTCGTCTGATGTTAATGCGTCTGCCTTATTTCCCGTATTTATGCTAGACGTCTAAGTCGTCTAAGACGTCTTAAACGTCCTCCGGTATAAATACGGCTATTTCCGGCCTACTTTATTTCGCATGTTTGAGTGTTTTTAAAAGCCCTTTTTATTTTCAGTTTCTCACTCTGAATGAATGGAAAGGTAGAGAAAAACATACTCTTGCTGTGTGACAATGTAGCCAAATGCTTAACTCATAAACTTTAAAATAATAAATACTTTCTTGTGAACTGGTTTAGTTTAGACGATTCCGTCACCATTTTGAAGCTATGGCAAATAGTTATGTATTGGCGTAAATTTCGGGTGAATTCAGTAAGACAACTCAGGAATTGCTGCAGTAATTCCAAGGTATCTTTCGGGGGTTTTTTTGGAAAAAGTGCAAAAAATAAAAAAGTCTGATTCTTAATCTGACAACCGATGCCCTTAAATAAATTCAGTGAAATCTACATATCCCATCTGCCAGCCAGTACCATAAGCCTCCCGCCCCATTATTCCCCATTATTTTTGTTTCCTCAAAAAATGTCGTGAAAGGTGGAGTGGACATGGACATGGTTTTGAGATGGCACAGGGTGGAGAATTTTCGCGGCGGAGACTGGGACGAGATACAAAATAGCGCCTATCGTGTTAGTGTGCACTCGAGATGCTTGTTTTCGGTTGTTTTTATGTGTTTGATATCGCCAACACAGAAATTCATACTTGGAAAGAGTACAACAAACACCAAGGAATGAGGTAAGTCAAGATTTGATGAGATTTTGGAGTTATGAATCTTTATTTTGGACTATTTTGGAGCGCTTGCGTTCTGAGCTAGGATCCGATTTTTTTGCTTTTGCGCAATAATGGTTGACAAAGAAACTTGAAGAAAAGACTGTTGATTCCTATTCTTCATATATTCTCTTGTTTGGTTTCTATACACAGAAAAATCTAAATTCAGCAGCAAACTTCGTGTTTACATCAAAGAATGGTCTCCCGTGACCTCGCGTGGTTCCGGTGTTACGATGCCGGGGTCTCTTTTGTTCGACAAATATTTGTCTCTTCACACTCGGAGTTTGAATAACATATATAAAGTAGCGATCCCGGGCCAGACACTGTTTCGTTAATACAGTTGGAGAGAGCTGTCCCACAGGCTTCACAGCCCCCATTCAAAGCCTCAGCCAGGACATTTAATTCTATAACTCGACGGCCGGGAAGTGAAAAACCACTGCAGACTTTGGGATCACGCACATTTTTCTCATTTCTTGTTTTTCGATAGCATACCTGGAGGCTGTCAGCCAATATGTGACATTATTATTGCGAATAAAAGCTTTAGCTCTGCAAAAGCGGCCCTTGTTTGTTCTTTTCGCAGGAAAGAACCGCCGCCTTCTCGGGTGTCGCAATATTATGCGCAGTAGAGGGTGCACAGTGCAAAACAAGGGAATTTCCTTTTACACTGTACTGACAATCACAAATTTGATCGGAAAAGTAAAGTGGGCACGTTTTTTTTAAGCGTTGTATAGAATACTTTTAACCCCAGCCTTTGACATTTACATATATTCCACAACAGTTCTTTATCTATGGTTGCATAGAGATTTCTTGATTCTTTAGCACCGCACCCGCTTGCAACGGCTTTTTTTTTTTTTGTAAATTCCATTTTTGGCTTTTGTAGCCAAATTTAAATCGTGGGAAATCGAAACTAAATTGCAGAAAAAATCGACTTGTTTCTGTTTCGCACCGCGAGTTTGGGTACTATTGGCGGTTTACATTTTGCCGTCATATCATCACCCAAACATTCCATAGAGACTGGTGTTGAGTTGATAGGTTCTTTTGGCGCCATCAGTTTTTCAAGCTATCTGTGTTAAGTTTTAGTTTGTATTTTGGGCAAGTTGGCTTACTAAATAGCCATCTCCTATTGAGATGTTGGTTACCCATGACGTATGCCAGAAATGCGAAAGAGAAGATTATCAAACAAGAAACGTTCTTCATCTTAGAATTCGACAGATCTGAGGAAAACTGACGAATACAAACGGGTCCCTTGCCCTCTTGGTGAAAAAATCTTGCTAACACCGCGGTATATAGCTTCTTTATGAGTCAGGTAACTCGGTAATCTATTTAAAATTAGCAGCATGCGTTAGGTGACGTAAGGTTTGATTATCTTGTGGCAAATGTGACTATTTTTCAGTAACCTGTTCAAGCATTTATTTCTATCCATAGCTATTCTTCCGGTTAAGTTCGGTGAATTATGGATTTTCATAAAAAAAAAAACCCTTGCAATTCGAGTAAAGCCAGTGATTTAGAATCAACGCAAATTCTATCAAAAGGGAAGGAATGTTAAGCATTGTCTCTAAGTAGAGCTCCGCTGCTCAATAAAGGGCCAGGTAAAACTCGAACCATTGTGTTTCCGCTAATGGCATTTAACAATAAAAATGGTGAAAGACGATCCTCGTGAAATTATGTTTTTAATTATTAAAATGGTCATTCCGACCCTTTTTACAATTTTTCGCCTGTTTGAAACCTTTTAAAAGCCCTCTTTTTTTCCATTTTGCACCCTGCATAAATCGAAAAGGGAGAAAAAAAAATAGTACTGTTGCTGTGTGGCAGTGAAGTTCAAGCCACCTGGTTTAGACGATTTCATCACCATCTTGAAGCCATGGTAAATAGTTATGTACTGGCGAAACTTTTGAATGAATTAAAACACAATTGCCGAAAACAAAATATATATTATTATTATAATAATACAGTCACTCTCTCTATCACGGACAGCTTTGGGGCCAGCACTGCGTGTCGGCTTCTTATAAACCTTTTACTGCCAGAGTGTTTGATGGAGTTTTGTAAGATGACTCAACTTTTGAGTCTGAGGGCGAAATCCTATGATTGGACCATTCAAATGAAAGCTCTCTGCCTGTACTTACACATGGTGCTATTTGTTATTCAAAATTTCACAAAAATGCTTTTGGCCAAATTTGGCGGTGAAAGGATTACAGAGAGTCAAATACAGTGTATAGGGAGTAAATGTCGGTTAAGAGAGAGAGTCGACTGAAAAAACCTTAAAACGCCTTTCAGCCAGACAACTAGGAGGAAGCGTGTTTCACTTTTAAAAGAGAAAAAGTTTAATTTAAACAAAAATCTTCGTATTGTTTAGAAAAAAAGGGGAAAGGGAAAAAGGAAAAAACTAGGAAAGAAAACATGAAAAGTGTCATTTCTAATGTCTATAATGAAATGAATTCGTGCCCAAACCAGTTTCTCTGTTCGTGCTTGATCAATTATTGATCAGATTAGCTCTGACAAAAACTCGGAAGTTGGTTTATGAGACTTTTTTGCACACTCCTAAAGCCAGTATCTCTTGTGGCCGCAGTAGTGTAAGCTGGTTGCAGGCGTCCGACATCTGGTCTATTTCGGTTCTTCTGTTTAATTTCAGTCTTTTTTGGCCTCCTGTTTCGGTTAGGGAAAAGCAACCGAGAAATCGAAGCAAAAGAACATGAATCTTGACTCCCTCACTCTGCTTTTTACGGATTGATGTTATATTCTATTCAGTTGATATCGGTACACATGTTGAAAGCCTTGTGATGTTTTTCAGTTTTATCAAGAATAATGGAACAGACAGGAACACGCTCACTTTAGATATTGTAAATTTTAGACAAGTTATTTTTAATGACGAAAGATTTGTCACGATATCCCGAGAAGTCCGTTTACTTAAGAGTCTTTATTAATGGCTTCCATGCCTTTACTGTAGAATGCAATGACGGATCCAGGAAAGGGGGCCGGGGGGAGGGGGGGGGGTGGGGGGGGGGAATTACCTTAATTTTAGACCAAAGGGCCGCATTTGAAATCGAAGTTTGCCAATTCAAAAACGTTCATGGTAAATTTTAAAAATGTTTTTTTTAAGTCAAAAAGTTTTGTCCAGACACCCCGAGAAGTCGTTTTATTTAAGGTTTTTTATTAGTGGTTTCCCGGGCTTTACGGGGGAAGGCAATGGCGGATCCGGGAAAGGGGGCGGGGGGGGGGGGGGGGGGTTGGAGGGCGGAATTACCTTAATTTTAGACCAAAGGGCCGCATTTGAAATCGAAGTTTGCCAAATCAAAAACGTTCATGGGAAAGCAAAATAACATTGTAGAAAAAATGTACTTAGAAAAATTAACATTGTTTCTTGCCACGCTTGAATAGATTGTAAACTGTTAACACTGGCCACAAGATACTCCTGTCGCTTTAAGGTTTTTTCAGTGATAACAAACTTAAAAGTGTATGCGGGCCAAGTATTACGTAATAAGTCAGAAGATCGATCCATTTTGCAGCTTTCACTGCACTTGGTGCCCAAGCACGGTCGGCCCAGGTACGGTACTCGCTGAGCACTAACGTGAACACACCCTTTTTTCAGGTACCCACGATAGAATTCGGGCACAAAAATGGGTACCGGATCCCTCTGTGCACACAATTTTTGTAAGTTCCTGGCAGTCCACTGCTTTGTTCTCGCTGCTAAGCTCATGTTTCAATATCGCGTCTGACAGGGCGTAACTATTCTACACAGTCACACAGTATAGGGTACTCAAAGTGTGAACACAACTCTATGTGCCGATACCCAAGCACTGGTTCCCGTGCACCAAGTGTGAACAGCTCCACAGAAAGGAAGTCCGCCCTTCTGAAAAAAAACAACAAGGAAGAAAAAGAAATAATGCCTTTTTCATGACACATACCAGCCCTTTACGTCTACTATAAAAGAAGCTTCAATGAAAAATTGGAATCTCATAAAAAAACAGCCACTACTTTGCCAAATTTTTAAAAGAACCACCTATTATTTCCTACAAGAAAGGAAAATCATGGCAAAGGACATGCTTGTTAGAGCCAAAATATTAAAGGTCAATACATAGTTTTTCACGCAGGTCTAGATGTGCAGCCTGTCAGCCTTTGTAGTTTTTCACTAGAAACAATTTATGTATCCAAAAGGTTAAAGTGGGCGTTTTCCTCTGTGTCTTAGCCTTTCTTGATTACTTTTTTATTGAGCCCTGTAATCAACAGGGAAACCAAGTTCGCATTTACAATAAAAGTTTAGTGATTTTATCAATACTATATTGGTAAACAAGGGTGAAATAAACGATCATGTTGCATATTAAACAAAGCAGAGTTAATGAAGTTTAAGTGCAATTAAATGATGCATCCTTACAAGTTTTACATGTTTAATAGGAATCAAAGTCTTAAAACTGGGGAAATAAATGACAAATATTAATAATTAACATGCATTTTATTTACAACCGTCAAAGATCGAGAATTTTAACCGATTACCGACAAAGTAACTGAATTTTAACAGACAACCGACAAGTTGACCCTTCATTCACAACCTCAAGGGGGGTAGAGGTAGCAAAGACATTATGCACAGAAAACATGTGGTCTGGGCAGCTAGAGGAATAGGAAGGAGAACCAAGATACGGCTATTCAAGACTTTAGTTTGACCAGTCCTGCTAAGGGTTGTGAAACTTGGAAGAGCACCAAGAACGATGAACGGAAGATAAATAGCTTCCAGTGCCAGTACTTGAGACGGATACTGCGGATTAGATGGTAGCAGAGAATGACAAACAAGAGAGTGGCTGAGATCAATGAGATAAGCTATGAGGTGCGACGAAGAAGGTGGAACTGGCTAGGTCAAATACTAAGGAAGGAGGGAGCGAACGACTGCTTTACAGCATTAGGATGGATTCCTGAAGGTCGGAGGACGAGAGGAAGAGCCAAAAAACTACTTGGAGAGGGACAATGGAGAAAGAGCGAAACAAAGCTGGGTGGAAGAACTGGGAAGTAGCCAAAGCGGTTGCACAAGACAGAAAGTGTTGGTCGGATGAGACTTGATGATGATGGTAAAACACCGACATTAGCGGGGCAGAAATCACAAATGTGATCGGAAAAGTATAAAAGTAGGCACGTTTTTTTTAAGCATTGAATAGGGTATTTTTAACCCCACCTTAGGACTTATTATATATATTCCACAACAGTTCTTTATCTATGGTTGTATACATCATTTCGAATTGAAAGATCTCCGGAACGTTTTTAGCGCACTTCTGCATTTGCCTCCCGGGAGAGGGGTACTCCTGAAAATTCTTAGTGGGGGTAAAACGCCCGGTTCTCCAAATCCTGATCCGGCCTATTTCAGACCAAAAAATGTCCTTTTCCTCACTCGTGTCCAGACCAGACCTCTAAAATCCATACCCGTTTTTAGACCTAAACTTTAGGCAGAAATTATGTCATCATGACTTAGATTAGAACTCAAACAATAGTAGTCAAAGCCATTTCAAATTCGCATATTTCTATTTTTGAAATGATAAATACGTTCATACACACCCATAGTTCCCTCGAGAACCACACCCGATTCCAGCTAGACCAAAAAGGGCAAAGTGTATGCCCCTTTT